TTAAATCATGACTTAAGATACCCCCAAGAAGTCATTAATGACATTCAAGCCTGTGTTAGCAGGACACAGACTTACAGAAAACAGTCACACACTGTCTACAAGAAGACGCTGGTTTTATTGACGAAATGAATCATTATGTACAGGTTTACGGTCGCTAATAAAAAGTGGCGCTCGTTGATTTTTATGACGGCGTAGATTAATTGACTACTATAACATCACAAATTTTTCTAATGGTGCATATTTTTGTTGCAATTTGTTTTACATAGGAAAGTAAAGTAATCAAGGAACTAAATGTATGGCTCCGGAATATTTTTACCTGATAAGAATTGTTTCTAGAACTAGTTAAAAATCCAAAAAAACTTGGGCGATTTGCTATTTTGATCATCGAGATTAACATGGCTAGCTATGAAGCTATTGTACGAAGTCACGACGGTTTGGTCAGCCTGCGGGACGGAATAGCAAAATAGGAAAATAATAATGCAGGCAATTTAACCGATAAAAAAGTTGAACAGAATCAGCTTACATTTTTGAAAAAGTGACATTTTTTAAACTTTTACTAATTTACGGTGACGTCATCAGCCTTTAATGCGTGTTGTAATTTGTAATGCTTACCAGAGGATGTCACCCCTCCATCACCGCGGACAGCACGCAGTAGGAAGCGGGAGGTCGACGTGGTAGAAGATTGTAAAGTTCTCTGTAATGAATGCAAGCCAGGGTGTAAAGTAAATAAAATTCTACTCAGCAAGAAGCTACCGTTAATGTGGCCTTCTCTCCTCGTGTCTTTGTCGTTGCAATTTCAACAGACATTGCGCTAACGATAGGTGAAGGCAAGGATACCGTATGTCGTTTGGATTCGTAACATAAAAAAAGCAGCGGAAAGTATACAGGTGGTGTTATCACGGAACGTTTTATTAGTGACCACCCCAAATGTGTATAAACTTGTCGTAAAATACAGGTCCCAATTAAACTCTAAAAAGATAAAATTAACAGTAAACACCAACAAGGATTTGATCCTCAACTTGCCGGGCATTCCGATGAGTAGCTAGTGTGATGCGCCTAAAATCATAAACCAAACTAATCGTTGAAGAAATAAAAGCTAGTAGAGATGAAGGTCGAATCCAAAAGTGAAACGGATTTTAACGGGTGGCTTTCCAATTGTTTGGAAATGAAACTAAATAGGTCAACAACAGAATGATTGGATATTGGTGGTACCATTGGAGCGAAAAGTGAAGGAAATTTCAATACAGTCAGCCCGGCCACAAAGACGTACAAGCGGCGCGCAAATACTCCACTGCGTTGGCATTACCACACATCAAAATAGCAATTAGTCGATTATAACTACGCGGGGAAATTTAAACAAATGTGGCATTGTATACACACCAACACTTAACGATTCCTACTAAAAACGTGAACCAAAGCTGTCGTTTATCACAAATGTCACATCCGACAGCCCAAAGAATAATATAATATTACAAATACACCGTATAGCTAACTGAATACCGATTTCGCGTTGACATGGCAAGACAGACTACGTGTCCATCAAACGTGAAACATTGTTTCATATATCCTTCGCTGTTATGCGTCTCATAGTGAAGGACTCCAGGTCGCTCGCTTCTATAGTGGTACCGATATGGTGTAGCATCTTTTGATCGCTCTACGAACAAGGTTAGAACAGTAGATATAAGAAAAAATGATCTCTTCTATATCTAATGGTCGTAATGAAACCAGTATCACAATCTGTATATACCGAAAACCGCGCTGGGACCCACGTTTCCTTGAATTTTTCGAATTTCTGGAATGGTAGTACAGTTGTAGTACTATTGTATCCTGCAATAGCCAGTACTAAAAAACACCAAAGTTTTTTAAGAGCGCCAAGTTGGCTGTAACCACCAGTACACGTACGAATATGTATGCAGTAATATTGCCAAACACCATTAATATTTCTGTAAGTGAACCTTGTTAGCACCGAACTCGAAGCTTTTGGTGGCAGACGACCATGCCACCGAAAAAAACTTTCGGTTTTCAGAATTTCGGATAATAGATTGTGTGCTTGTACGTTTTAGCGAAGCGCGATCTGCAGCTGATGCGTGCTTGCTAAAGCCCTACAACGACGGGCGAATAAACATGAATGCTAACAACTAATTTTACTGATCAATATGCTCGCTAAATCTATTATATCTCAGTCCCTGTGGCCGTTGTATTGTTCGATGCTACTGGTGGCACCACCTGGAGGGAGGTGATTGCCGGCACCAAACAGTACTACTCGCTACAATTTGTAAGTACAAATCACTAGGCATACAAATGTAATAATTTTGATCGTCGCTAGACAACACAAGGTTAGCTATGAGGGTAAAAAGCGTAATAAGGCTTCCTTCCTCTCTCTCTCTAACACGAGAATAGAACTTGACCGTAACATACACTCTATAAGCATTATTATAATTATATTATATAACAAACGCAATATTAAATGTATCTATATATATACCATTAATACAAATGAACGCCCATCCTCGTGCCCGGGACATCTGCCGGTATAATAATTTACCGACGAGGACCGAATTCGCCGCTTCTAACGCACGAGATGGGCGCTAATAAGCACCGCCTGGCAGCGGAGAAGCTGGCAGAAGCGCCACCTGTAGGGGAAAGTGGACGGTCGAACCCTGGTCCCACAATAATCTCGTAAGTCGCCCTCAATCCTAGACTTATCGATAGCAAAACGCATCGTAGCGGAAACGCACAGTGCACAACGGCGTGTACGAACGCACTAGCACTAGACAACGCGCGTAGTTGAACGCACGCAGGACACGCGCCAGGTGACGAAACAACGCAAACAACACAGCGTGGTAGCGAACGCACGGCTACCACGCGTGTACGAAAAAGCAAGCGCGACACACGCGCGTAAACGATAACACGCACGGAACGCCGTGTACGAACGACAGCACAAACGCGTGTACGAACGCACGGCACCGGCAAACGCGTGTTACGAACCGCACTGCGACGACCGCGTGTAACGAACATGCGGGACGCACAAAACGCGTGTACGAACAGCGCTACAACGGCGTGTACCGAACGCACAAGCAGAACCCCGTCAGGCTCTGGCGCCACGCGTAGTACGAACAGGCACAAGCAACAGCAATCGCGTGACGAACGGCACAGCACCACGGCGTGTACGAACGCAGACCGCACGAGAGATTCTGCACGCGTGAGTACGAACGCACAAGAACGATGTGTGTGCAACGACTCGCACCACATGCGTAAGACGACACTCGTACTAAAGCATGTAGCAAACGTGTGCACGCACGGCGTGTAGTGTCTTGTAACCAACACGTGTAAGTGACTTGTACCAAAACTAGAACCAAATAAAATTGTGCGCCAACAAAATTTTTAATATTTCTGATGTTATTTACGTTAGTTTAGTTTATTATTAAAATTAAGCAATCAGAAATATAAAAATTTTTAGGGCACAATTTATTGGTACTAGTAGCCAACACGTGTAGTGACGATTGTAACCAACACTAACGTGTAACAGACGACTGCCGTACTGCCACGCGTACATAGCCACAGAGCACAGACGTGCTGCTGACACTGCGCTGCTAGCCGGTCCAGCCGCACGTCCATAGCACCGGCCTCACACCTGTACACCTCTGAGATCACACCACAACATATTACTCGATATAGTTACTGGATGAGGGAGAAAAGAAGTGAAGAAACCCTACGTGAGATCTAGGTCTGGGTGGCGGGAGTGGGTGCAACCGCCGCGGACAGAGTATCGAGAGGGGGTGCCACCGTCCGGACAGAGTATCGAGAGCGGGGGTGCACCGCCGGACAGAGTATCGGAGAGGCGGGTGCAACCGCCGGACATACCGAGTATCTGAGAGGGGGTGGCACTCGCACGACAGAGTATCGGGAGGGGGGGAGCTTGTTGTCAGAGAGATACTCACTCACGAGGTGTCGCGAATCGAAAATGTTTCATAACGTTTGCTCGACAACACTTCAAAAGTATAAAATGCTGTGACATTATAGACAAAACAGATAACTGTTTGAGCAAACGCGAGGATCCGGGCCGCGGTCCAGCTTGCTAAAGAAAGCGGTTAAGTAATGCTTGCCTAAATTACTTACTGCCAATTTGGCTGCTGCGGGACGATGATTCACGCACTCTTACCATCAGTCTTGTCCCTATTTTTGACTTCCTGTAACCTTTAAACATTAAACATTTAATTTAATACAATCGATAATTAATAGTAAGCACGCGGCTAAACTAATTACACTCACACAAAACCAAAATTAGGAATATTTTCGGGTTACTGTTTAAAATAGAACCGGTGCTTGCATTGCCATCATAACCTTTAAATTTTCTCAAAAAATGAAGACCCGCCAAAATATTGAAAAAAATGAAAAGACCCATAGCCCCAAAAAAATTTGGGCAAATTGAATGGGTCCTTCGCCGTTGCGGCGTCAGCGATTTATGTGAGTTTTGCGGTCCTCGGCGAGGCGGCGAGGAAAGAATATCTGTCGTGTTTGATAATTTTGGTCTCCGCGAGGCTGAAAACATCGCAGTGTGCGGCGGGGTGAGTGTGAGACTCCGGCACTCCTCGCTCGACACGAAACCTCAGTGGCGGTGGCATTTTAATCTGGTTCCGCCAATTTTGATCAAGTCCCATGACACTTAATACAGGTGGCACCCCGCCGATCGTAAGATCCCCGGTGATCACACGAACCTCAAGCACGCGTGTGCGGGAGCCTTTACAACACATACACACACACGGCACAGGAGCACGGGTGAAAACATAACCTCCTGCCAACCCCTTGGCGGAGGTAACAACAATATGATCATACACAGGAACACGGACAAGTGTTGTCTCTAGATCTCGTAATGCAAGAGACATAATGTGAAGAATCCTTCGTACAATCGCATCCACTCTCGAATATAATTATAGCATCACCATCGTCATAATTAATTCAACATTATATACGTGTATACATACATACATATATATATATATATAGATAGATATATCTTACGTTTAATATGTGAATAATGATTACTCGGAATAAATAAAACATTTCTCATTCGCTAGATTTGTACACTAATGCGGACTTGTAGTAAAGATTAACGTTTCCCCGCTATGACCGCGCTCACAACTCGTCACGGTCTAGAGCCTGAAGAAGAGGAATGACAGACACATCTGGGTCGTAAAGTCAACGGGACACTTAAGAAACTCACTAAAAACTTTCTAGTGAGGAAAAATGGCGACGCCACCCTGCCAAGATCGCTTGACGCGGTCAAAAGACATCCGTTCAACGTCAGATATATTCGGATTGCTTTTTCGTTATTCGTCGCGAATATTCAGAATCGATTCAATGCATATTTCGATCGCCGGGATCATCCAGAGAGCGAGAGAGCCACGGACAATGGCAGCACGCTTCCATCGCATAGACATCGCAGTGCGAGTGCACATCCGCCGATTACAATGCTGGATTCGACCTCAGCGGCCATTTTGGAAGGCAAGAAAAGCAGCAGTGCAACTACACCGTAGCAGCCGAATCACAAGCCACCATTGCAGCGTTCTGCGATCGATGTGCAAACTCGGTGAAGGTGCGGCAAGACTCGAACATTCCTTCAGATCGCCGAGTGGATCGTGAATTAAAGACTGCATCGTTACCAAAAGCAGAAAACCGCTATCCGACCGCGCAGCAGTACTAAACCACCTGTGCACCACGAGTCCGACGCTAGGCAACCCAGCGGTCGAAGGCGAATAATACGGAAGAAGGACTTTTCCAAGACGGACGAGAAGATCGGAAGGTCTGCGTAGTTGTCGTCGTCTGCCGGCGGCGTTGCTGGGGGCATTGTCGGGGACGTTGCCGGGGGCGATCGTCTGCTACTGGGCGGTGAGTTTTAGCGTTCCGTCGCCAAGCAGACGATCCTTGAGAGTGTTAAAGAACTGAAGTTGTTGCTCGGGCGGCATCGCCAACACAAGCTGCAGCAGACGCTTGGGGTCGGCGGCCCTGAAACAATAGAGCGTGCACGCGTTAAGGGGCGGCATCGCCAACACAAGCTGCAGCAGACGCTTGGGGTCGGCGGCCCTGAAACAATCGAGCGTGCACGCGTTAAGGGGCGGCATCGCCAACACAAGCTGCAGCAGGCGCTTGGGGTCGGCGGCCCTGAAACAATAGCTCGCGTGCACGCGTTAACGGGTGGCATTGCCAACACCAGGTGCAACGCTCTCTCTTTCTCTTTCTTTCTCTCTCTCTCTCTCTCTCTATCTATCTCTCTCTCTCCCCCATCTCTCTTTCTCTTATTTCCCTCCTCTCTCTCTCTCTCTCTCTTGCTCCCTCTCTCTCTCCCC